TTACTCATTACTTTTCTCGTCTCCCCTCTTTCTTTCTCTCTCCTCGTCTCACCCTCGCCCTCTGTCCCAGTCTTTCTACCCTTTGCCATCCCACTTTTCCCCTTCGTTTTTCTTCTGTCATTCACTTGTCAAATTACATGTTTGCCGAGGAGAAAGAGATGGAGGAGGAGGAGGAGGAAGGAGACATAAATAAGCAAACAGACAAAGGAGTAAGCATCACATTCACACAAACGTGAACGCAGATATTAGCATCAGCTGATGACGTAGTTGCGGGAGTCCAGAAGGATTGCACCCCCCTCCCCTCCTCTCCTTTCTCCTCCCTCCCTCCCTCCTCCACTCCCCTCCCTTCTCCTCCCCTTGTTCTGCGTCCTTCCGTTGAGCGCTAGGATTAAGATTAAGAGTAAGAGAAAGGAAATGAAAAAAAAGGGAACAAAGAAAGATGAGGCCATGCTTGTTCGTCCCTTGTTGTGCGCACTCTTGCCTGGTACGTTTGTCGATCGTCGCTTGCCATATTTTGTGTCATTAAACAGGTGGTGTGCTTTGGGGTGTCGGGCGCTGTTTGTTTTGGTTCGGGGATTCCTCGATTTCCTGTTTTTTCCTATTTACGGTTTCGCTTTTTCTCTATTGTTATGGTGATTATGATTATTTCTATTGTTATTGTTGTTTTATTATTATTATTATTATTATTTATTATTATTATTATTATTATTATTATTACCTAAGAAGAATCGTTAACAGTCTGCCTGGGGGAGTATTTAGGAAAGGGGTGGTGTTCTCTCTAGTGCGGTGATGATGGTGATGATCGCTGAGGTGATAAACTGGGCTAGAGAGCGGGTGGTGGTGAAAGAAAGAAGTGTGTGTGGTGATGGAGTATGTAAGTGTGGTGATAACATGAGGTATTGATTCCCGGTGTAAGGGAGGGAGGGAGGAATGAGGGAGAAGGGGGTGGGGGAGCAGTAGGGTACGTCCCCGTCCTGGCTCCGTTGCGACTCTCTCTCTCTCTCTCCCACCTTCCTTCCTCCACCTTCGCTCTCCCTTTCTTCCCCTGCTAGCACTGCCTCTCTTTCTTTAATTATTTATTTGTTTATTGCTCTTTCTTTCTCTTTCCTTCCTTCCTTCTTTCTCCTTTCCTTCTTCTTCTTCCCTCTCTATGCCCGCTCTCCATATTTTTTTTTACTTGCCTCTACCCTCCACACGTCTCTTTTTCATTCCTCTCCAAGCGTCTCTTCGCTTCCCATCCCGTCGCCATGCTTTGGGTCTCTGTTTTATCACCCCTCCTCTTTCCCTCTTTTCTTTTTAAGTGAGCACGGTGTTGCACTCTGCCCGGGATCTGGGAAGAGAGGAGGCTGAGCCGGGAAGGGGTGAGGAGGAGGGGAGGAGGAGGAGGCAGGCAGGCAGGTCGAGCGTTGAGAGGGAGGGAAAGGACAAGCAAGGGCGGGGAGAGCAGATTGGGTGTGATGGAGAGAGACGGATGGAAAGGAGAGAAGGGAAAGGGAAGACAAAGGCAGGGTTGAGTGAGAACTCTCTCTCTTTCTCTTTCTCTTTCTCTTTCTCTATCTCCCTCTTTCCAACTCCCTCTCCTTCTCCATCTCCCTCTCCTTCTCGTTTCTTTCCGATTTGTGTATTTGCCCCTCCGAGATGATGATGATGATTATTATTATTGGTATTGGTATTATCATTATTGTTGATGTTGCTATTACTGTCATTATTAATATTATTATTATTATTATTTTCATTATAATTGTTATTATTACTACTATCATTACCATCATTATTATTATGATGATGAATATAACCGCTTCCCCTCCTCCCCCTCCCTCCACACTGCACGACCAGGATCTCCACGTGCGAGCTTCGGCAACGTTCATTCAGGCCGCTGTGCTCAGCCTCGCCACCTCACTTACGTCTTTGCCCGGCGCTTAAGGAGACAGGGCCCTGGCGTAACGGAATCTCGTTTTCTCTCTCTTTATTTCTTCCCTTTCCGTTGCTTTTTTTCTCTCTTTTATAGGGAAGGGGATGACGGGGGAAATGTAGGGGATGGATGGAGTGCGTGTCTGGGTTTTTGGCCATTTTGGGGAATGCATGATCAGGTGTTGCGGCGGCCAGATGGTGGTCGGACGGTGGCACTGTCAGCTGGTGGCGTGGCGTCGTGGCCAGGTGCAGCCAGGACGTCACGGGCGTTTGTATGTCAGTTCTCTGCTTGGACTTCATGCTTTCAGTCGGGCCTTTTTCGCGTCTGTATGAGTCTTGTGTGTTTTTTGGTGTAGGTTTTTGTGGTGTGTGGAGCTGGGCAGGTTTTGCTGACACGGTTTCTCCTGGGCGCCAATTCCATGAGGTCGCTGGGTACGTGATACCGGCCCCCCCCCCCTCCTTTCCACCGGCCTGTCAAGGAAGCAGAGGTGTGAAGGGTCGCGCATCGACACCCGCTTTGTTCCGCTGCCTCAACGTCCATCTCTTAACTTTATCTGCGGCTGCTGCTCCTCCGCGCCGTCGCCCCTTTCCGGCCCCGCATGCTTCGGGCCTCCCCTGCACGGAGCGCATCGTCACGGCGGTCGCGCTCCGAGGCGAGGAGGAAGGAAGGGGGAAGCGAAAGGGAAGTCGGTCCTTCAGCAAAGGATCCTTCCTCCTCCGCCGCTGCTGACCCGCCTCGTGCTGAGTGACGTCACCCCGCCCCGCCAAGTGGAGGAGGCGGGAAGGGGGCGTTGCGTCCCTCGGCGAAGTGCGTTCCTCCCCTTGGCCTCGCTCGTTCCGAAGTGCCTGATGAATGCATTAAATGAAATAAAACTTGCGATTAGACCTAATAGTCATGCCATTGTGTTTATTCAGAGAAATGAGCGCGTGATGGACCGGGCGGGCATTCGAGTCGCGCTCCCGGTAATTTTCTGATAGTTTGTGTGGCACCCTGACTGCGAGTGCCGTGTGTGCCGCGGCATGGCAGCCCTTGTGTGAGTTACGAGGGGTACGGCTCACCTCGCCTAGCGGGAGCGTGGTGGCGGAGCTGGGGCGGCTGCTAGTGGTCGATGGTGGAGCCTGCCAGGAGGAAAACGTGTTGGCGGACCTCTATTTGTCGAGCGGGAGAGGACACATGTAGCAGCAGCAGCAGCAGCCTGGCCCTGCCTGGTGGCCCAGGCCGGCCCGCCCCGTCCCGGCGTGGTGACCCACTAACTTCCAGCAGGATTATGGATTTGTCAGAGGACTGGATGGGGTGGCGGGAAAGCTGTGCCGGCATTGTTAGCCGGTTGGGGAAGTGGGGAGGAGGAGGAACTGGAGATGATGGGCCGGGGGAAGGGAGGGGTTTGTTAGGGCAGTCAGTACGTTGTTGGGGGGAGGTAGCGGGAGGGACGAGGTGGTCGTGGTGGGGCAAGAGGTGTGGGGGGGGGGGTGAGGCGGGGGGAGGAGCAGGAGGAGGAGAGGAGGCTGTGGGAGTCTGCAGCGAGAAACGTAAGATCAATAGACAATCACCCCAGTGGTGAGTACTTAATGGTCTTTGCCAAGTGTGTGAGGATTGGTGACTGAGACTGGAGAACATGTTGGGGGAGTGAGATGGCCCGGGAGAGCGTAGTGGCAAAGATGACGGTGTATTAACGGGACGGTAATCTGCGGTGGGTGTTGTAGCGGGGTCGACCGCCAACAGCAGCGCCAGACCCCGCTACAGGGGCCGTGTGGCAGCAGCGTGTGCATGTGTCCGTTGGGGAGAGCGAGTGTGTGTGTGAATGTTGGTGGTATTTGGTTGGTATCTGCCTTAAACAGAAAGGCCGCAAGGTGCGTGATGATGGGCGATGCTACGTGTGTGACAAGAGTCCGGGGCGGAGTGTGTCCGCTCATAGCTCCATACGGTTAAAATTTTGTCGGCTTTGTCTTTGTTTAGGCCGGGAGGGCGGGAGGGCGGCCGAGCTGGCAGGCAGGCAGGATAGGCGTACGACTGAGTTTGAACGGCACTCGACCTTCACTTCCCACGGAAAAGTTCTCAAGGTTTCATTCATTCCCCGACCCCTCATTGAAGAATATCGTAATGCTATAAATACTTCCCACGGGTTTCATATATTGATTTTGGGTGGAGAAGGTTTGGAGGGTATGTGTGTCAGTAGAGCAGGTGCTGCTCATTTTGGGCTATTGCTGCGGTGACTTACGGCTTGTAATTTATGCGCTTGTATACGCATGCGCTAAATACTTTCGTGTTCGCTTGAATAAACAAAGCAACTCTGATGGTAATGTCCGCAAAAGATGTTAAACAACGAAATCTCGGCTCTGATTGTAAACCCACTCCAAAGTCCAGAGGCGATCTAATCTAGTTTCCTTACCATATGCCGCGCGTGGCTGGCCTTTGGTAGTGTGCATTATTAAGGACAACCCCCTTTTGATGTTGCGCCTCCATCGTTTCCAAGGAGAAACTTCCCGGCCGCTGTGGTAGCTCGTGCCAGCGGAGAACCAGACAGCTGGAGGAGTGAAACGATCATCATTTGGCATTTCCCTTGGCAAGTCGTTAAGAAGAGAAACGTTAAGGGTGTGGCTTTGAAGGATAATTTCAGGCGTGAAGTTTCACGGGCAATTGCGATAAAACTGGCTTTAAAGAAGCTGTTGCAGGATTATCATCGGTTGAATAAGTGATAATCATTCTTTCCTTCCTGCCTAGCATAAAACGAGAAAGTATTCGAAATCTTCCACTCTTCTCAGTCAATAACTCGGCAACAAATCAAGGCTGCGTTTCCCGCTCAAGAGGAATTATGATTGGCCTGCAATGTTATGACATTTCTCTGCCGTCGCTTTGTGCGGAATCGGTTGTCTTGTCTCGTATTTATTACTGCTGCCGTTCATGCCTGTGGTTTTATGATTTTGCGCTGGTTTACTTTCCTTGTATTTTGGAATAGTGCGTTCATCATTTCTCTTTTCATTCAAGCAAGTTGGACTTATTGTGTTGATTAGTCACCATGATTATTCATGAGTGACTGAATTTTAAGAATTTATTGCATTTGTCTGAAGCAAATTTTCTTATTTTTCAGAGGGCATTCGCGGATCTTGGGACTGGGAGAACGGTTTGTCCTATGAGTGCCGAACACTTCTTTTTAAGGCTCTACATAACCTTATTGAAAGGTAAGGTTGTCATTTTTATGTATTTTTTAGATGTTGCAAGAATCTGGTAATCAAATGTTATACGATTTTTCTTGGTTATTAGTGTGTATATTTTATTATTGAGATAAGCTATTATTATTAGCTGTACCTGTCACAGATTATTTACTTTTTCATTGTCAACTTTTGCTTACTGTTCCGATTTCCCCAGATGTCTGCGAACCCGGGACTTCGTCCGGCTGGGTCGTTGGTTTGTCCAACCCTACGAAGGCCCGGAGGGTGTTCCTGGCAACAGGAGGTGAGTATCTTCATCTGTTACCAGATTAAGAAAAAACGTCCTATTTTTCGTGTCAATAACTACAACTTTTTATTATCTTTGTCAACATTTGATGTAATTTATCAGAGACTACCATTTCTTTTGTTTCCATTTCTGTAACAAGTTTTAAACCTTCGCCTTTGCTTTCCAGTACTCACCTGTCATTCAGTCTGTCATTCTTCGTCCATGGCGAAAGCATTGTATGTGCCAGTGTGGACGTTCGGCAACACCCACGTGTCCGACGGCTCACGCGGCGACACCTGCTTTTAGCACAGCAGTCAAATCATGGCATACCAGGTGGGTTGGAGGAAGAGGCTTTGTTGTAAAAATTGGTGTGACTTTAGGAAGGTGTGTGTGAGTGGAAGTATCGCGACTGTTCCGTGTGTTATGGGATATTTTTATGTAGTTTGTTCATCTATCCCTATGTGTATATGTATGTAGAATGTGTCTTGATGTAGATTCTCTCTCTCTCTCCCTCTCTCTCTCTCTCTCTCTCTCTCTCTCTCTCTCTCTCTCTCTCTCTCTCTCTCTCTCTCTCTCTCTCTCTCTCTCTCTCTCTCTCTCTCTCTCTCTGTGTGTGTGTGTGTGTGTGTGTGTGTGTGTGTGTGTGTGTGTGTGTGTGTGTGTGTGTGTGTGTGGTGTGTGTGTGTGTGTGTGTGTGTGTGTGTGTGTGAGTGAGAGTAAGTGAGTGAGTGAGTGAAGTATGATATATGAAATATATTATGTACATATTATATTTGATGGATGAATGAAGACAAAGCTAAATATTTTTTGTGTATAGATGATTTCTAATGTACATGTACCCACTCATATACACTGTCACACCCACATACTCATGCATGCATACATATACCCATGCAAACATATCCACACAAATACACATAAACATGTACATCAGCATCAATTTACCCACTTTCATTCTTATAACCATGTACATATATATATATACATATACACATACATATAACCCCCCACACACACACACACACCACATTAACACATATATATAACCCCCCACACACACACACCACACACACACACCATATACACATACACACTCATACATAAACACACTCGCACTCATATACACTCACACTTAAACACACATACATACATACATACTCACATATACATATACCCCCAATGTGCACACACACACACACAGCCCCCCCCACACACGCACATTTCATATAAGACAAAATGAAGTAAAGTCATAGTGCATTGTTGTATTATAGCATAAGCACAGTTATTTTTAAATGACCCTTTACTCTCTTCAGTTATATTGGGCCCATATGGGTTGAGTGGCACCTTGACTGGTGTGAGTTATCGGCTGTCTGAGCCTTCAACACAGAAGCTGTTGGATGAGTGGAGACAATTCTTTCCTATTGAAACAAAGGCATCACAGGGAGACTCCCCAGAACCCACAATGCCTGCCGCCGTTGAGGTTATCGTGGGTGAGTGCATAGGGCAGTTTTTAAGTTACGAGATGTGGTAAATAGAATGCATATCTTATAATGATCAGTTACAACAAAGTCTGAAAATATGATAATAGAAACTGTACTCGAATGTTTCTTATAGAGTAAGCTATTTGGTTTCAGTATGTTTAAGTAATTTGAAACAAAAATTAGATTTTTATTAAGATCTGAAAGATCTTGGTTTCTGTAGCTGAGTAGATTTTCATGGCAAGTATTTGACATTGCAGGTGGCCACAAAATGCGTTATCCAACTTGTTACACATTAGTGACAGACATGGATGACTACTTAATGGCAAGTCGTGGTGGGACAGTTGTGAATACCAACACTGTTTCTCCTGGAGCTATGAAAGGTGGGCTTACAAATGATAACACCCCAGAGGGTAGTGACGGGACGAGCCTTCCCTCACACAATTCCCCCTTCACTGCCTCGATCCACACCTTACTAGCCCCTGGGTACTTGAGCTCTGGGGGACGAGGCCTCGGTTGGTCACGGGAGATGTGTGAGCGTGTCTGGCAGGACATAGTCCAGTGTCCAGGCCAGCAGCCCCCGGCACAGAATGATGGACTGACACCAGAGGGGACATTGACCCCTGCTGAAATTGCTGGCCAGTGGGACTTCTCAGACCCTGCAACGAAGATCAGCTGCTCCTGCGCCAAGTATGTTTGTCTTTTGGTGTTATGTTCTTGGTTGTTCAGTTTGAGTCTCTGATGAAAGTAGGTAACACAGCAGATTATTTTGGAACTTGCTTAATATGTATTATCTTACTTTACTTTTCCATTTCTTTATGATTCTTAAACTTATTATTTTTCATATTATATATTTCCATTTGAATTTTTATTATATAGGAAATGCAAATATATGTCTTTGAAATATTAGAACATTATTATTGCATGAATTAGATGTAAAGTTACATGTATTTTCTGATATTTATGACACTTTCAAATTTGATTTAGATGAATGTATCACACTCTTCTGTGCATGACGCATGAAAGTAAATGCAGGATGTTATTATGATGCCTGATTTTATGTTATTGTTTGTTTATAGACTTCACACTATGCAGCAGTACAGTGCAAATTCAGGAGTTGATAATGTGGGGAACAGAAAATAAGATACTTAAAGTTGCATTGATTTTTTTCTTTTTGAATTAGATTATTCTTTGTAGAGTAGTGATATGAATATGTTAATGGCTAAAAGAAAAGAAAGAAAATATCTAACTGTAGTGAATGAAAAAGGCGTGAATTCGGAATATGGTGAAGGGTATATGTGAGATGTTAAATGAGGTGACAAACACAACAGCACAATTCATACATTTTTTTATCATTTATTTGTTATTATTTCTTAAATTTTTCAAGAATAGAAAAACATTAAATTTAGACAAGTTTAATTTCTGAGAGTTCATATTAGACTGTATACCTTTTTACTAAACATTTTTAAAGTAAGAATAGTAGGCAATATTGATGGGTTGCAGAACCAAATCTCGACTATATATTTTTGCAGCAGATTATTGATTCGTTAAAGATGAGCCAGGGGAAGGGAGGTAATATCACGAATTGGTCAAATACACATTTACCAGTCTTGTTATTTTTTTTTTTTGGTTTCATTTTTGTAGGGTCCTGATTGATTTTGGCTAGGAGGTAAGGGGATGCAGGTGTTTGTTGGTGAAAATTACCCGTCTAGCACTTCTTGATTATTTTCCTAGACTATTTTCCAAGGTATCAGTTCAGGTCTACCACATAGCCATAGGAGGGGAAATATGCCATTCAATTTAATTCATATTTTAAACTTTGTGGGAGTCCTTCTTTGGAATGAAAGGAATTTTAGGGAATAGAATTGTCAGCTAATTTTTAGATTTGATTTTTAGTTATCATTATATATGTTTTCATACTTGATTTTGTTTATTTTGTTTATTTTATATGTATCTGGACATTTAGAGTACTGTGGCCATTTATTTATTGCAATTTTAATGCAATAGTGTTCATTGCACAAGTGTTATGATCTCTGCTGTGTATGGTACAAGAGAGAGCTGCTGATGCTTGATCTTCCAACCATTGGTCACCTGTGCTTGTTTTGAGTGTTTGTGGAACTGGCCGTTGCAGGTGCAGAAGGGGTCGGGTCAGTAGTAAAGGGTGTAGCAGCAGTAAGGGCCGCGGGGAGAGAGGTGGTGGGGGAGGCGGGCGCCAGAGGGGGGGCAGCAGCAGCAACTCCAACTCTGGCTGCATCCCCTTCCACAAGCGGTCTCCCCCAGCCCCACTACCCTCACCCGACGAAGTGGTCCTGGACCAGTGTGGCGTGACGGCCATCGAGGAGTCGGGACTAATGCAGGCCGCTGCCAGGTACCACTGCTAACTCTGTACAACCACCACCACTCACCACCACAGTCACTAAGCGAAATGAACACTGTACACTTTTAAAAAGTTTTTGATGCAGAACTATATAGTACTCTTGATTAATTTTGATTTTATATTTTATTCATTTTATTTTTTCCCCTATGTGTACATTTGTTGACACTCACCTTCAAATAACAGATTGTCACATATATGATATATATCTTTATCAGTCTTGGCAGAAAATTTATATATTATATATATATAAAATATATATGATACATATATATATTTATAGATATACATATATATATATATACATACATATATATATATACATATATATATATATACATATATATATATATATATATATATATATATGTTATATATTTATATCATTAACAAAGGATTCATCTGCCTCATGAGATTTCCTACATCTTATCACAACTGGAAACCCTCTAAGAAGTAAAACCATATTCTGTAGCTTCCATTTGTCTCCATTTAAAAAAGAGAGATGAAGATGATGAATTTAGTAATCCTGATTATAATATTGATTGACTTGAGTTTTAATGAGGTCATTTGAACATCTTGAATACAGTATTCAATATTTGTACCTTGTTTATTGTGCTAATCATGGGCTTAAACATAATCTAAATTTTAGGGAGCCTTTTTTTCGTTTATAATATGATATTAAATGCTAGAGTACACTGGCATAAGCGCAGTTCACTTCCACACAACAATTTTCCACCAGATATTACAAACAGAAAAGTGCTTGCTGCTTTCTAGCAAAACTTAGTTCACATGACCAAAAAAAAAAAAAAAAATGATTTCGAAATTTGACTCAAACTACCATCAAGTGCCAGAAAGCCTTCTGCCTTATATTCCTCATTGATAAACCACTATGGCTGCAATATTTGCTTCATAAATTTTGATTTGTGTTCATTTATATTTTGTTGCTAGCATACATTAGATTTACAAAGTGGTTCATCTTCGATGTATACAAATGTAAAAGGACTGACACGTTCCACTCCTTACACCATGATTTGTGGAAGGTTTGTTTATCGGCAACTGTTGCTTCATTTGTGATGCTTCAAGAATCTAGAGGTTTAGCATATCACAAATGGCAGAGAGGCTAACTTGTACTCCTCAGCTGTTTTATGACAAGTGCTGAGAAACTAAGAGTGATGGTGGTGAAATAATGATTTATCTGACCCTTAGTGGCATAAGAAAATTGTACCAAAGAAAAGAAAAAGAAAACAAATCAGTATGAAGAGGTTTATATGACAGTACCCAAGAAAAGTTGATTCCCTTTGTGTGTTAGGAATTTATAAAATTTTGATTACCATTGCATGAGCTCTTTTTAATTTTTTAGGTGTCATAGATTTTAGAACCTTATTTTAAATATTTATTTTTGTGTGCCTTGCATCTTTAAATTGATTTAAAAGTTTGAGCTGTAGTCTTCTAGATTAAGTTTCTTTCAGTTTCTGTTTTGTATGTAGCTTGTCTTTGATTTATTTAAATTTACATTCCTTTACTTTACCAGTAATATAGCTGATTTGAGACCAGTGATGGCACCTGTAGCTGTAGTATTTGCCATGTAATATATTCTGTCAGGTGCATTACAATAAACCTCAAAATTGGGTTGTGGATGCTTTTGTACCACACATACATGTTTTCAAGATGCTTTACACCTGATGTGTCTCTCTCACAGACTGGGTGGAGCTGCAACACCTAGTGGAGGCAATGGAGCTGGGAGTTTCGGAGGATACAAGAGTGGTGGTGTGACAACCCCAGGTAGTGTTCCCAGTCTTCGGCTGACTGGAGTTGCAGATGGTCCTCCTCCATCAGTAGAATCTCCAGCCTCTGCCATTCCATCTCCACTCCCAACACCTCAGCCAGCCTCTGTGCCTCATCATGGTATGTGTCCCACAGTTCTAATTGAATAGTTACAGTAGGTGTGATACTACACGCATTCCTTTGTGTGATACAGTGTGATCTTCCCTCTCTCCTCTCTCTCTCTCTCTCTCTCTCTCTCTCTCTCTCTCTCTCTCTCTCTCTCTCTCTCTCTCTCTCTCTCTCTCTCTCTCTCTCTCTCTCTCTCTCTCTCTCTCTCTCTCTCTCTCTCTCTCAATATATATTTTTTAGGGGATTGTTGCCTTAAAAAAATGAGTGGGAACAACTTTTAAATGTGAAGTGGTTGTATATATTCATGAATTCCTCTCTTTCTCTGCAGATCCCACCATGCCAACTTTGAGTCCCCATCCACCCCCATCCAATACATCAGTGGGTGATCCAACTACCCCTGCTGCTCTCGATTCCTTGGATGTGAAACCAAATATTGCTGATTTGATGGGCCCCAAGTCCATATCATCTCTCAACAATCAGGTATGCACATGGAATCTTGTTGCTTGTGGAGTGATTCAAGAGATGTGAACTTTTTTAACATTGACAGACCTTTATCTGTTTTCATTGAGACTTCAGAGACCTTGATTTTTTTGTGTGTGTTTTCTCAACAGGGCATGTCTCCTTATCCTGGAAGTGAGAGAGGCAATGGTGTGGAGTCAAATGAGACCAGCAGTAGCCTGGGGGGCGGTGGAAGCAATAGCAGCAGTTTGCCAAGGGGACTAAAGCGGCCATCCCTACCAGGCACAGACTACCATTCTATACTAGAATTGGAAAAACCTAGTACCGTCCTCTATGACTACTCCAAATTAAATGCATGGTAAGTACTGGTGATCAGGGAACCTAATCGTACACATCTTGTTGCTCATTTGAAATTCTGTTGACCAGTAACTGTCAAACAGCTGATACTTACCTGGTGGGCAGAAGTTGCATAGTCATTGAGGCTGATGACTTTGCAGTGTTTTCATATTTTACATTATTATTGTCATGTTTTTTATATTTTAGGTTGCATCATCCAGTGAAGAAATTTAAACCAGCTGAACCAAAGGCAGAGGAACCTCTATGGCCACCATATAGACCTGCACATATCCAAGAACACATGGAAGTCATCCATCGTGCAGAACCAAGCCAAGAGGTAATATAACCCAAAATTACAACATACCCTATGAAGTTCGGATTTGATACTGGTCAAGAAATGGAAATCATTATTTAGCATCAAAAGAAGAATTTTTCTCTCTCTTTTAGGGCTTTTTTTTTTTTTCTTCTTCTTCTTCTGGAAATCTCAGTTACCCTGAAATGTAGCTTATACAGAGACAAGGGTAATTCATTTAAAGAAAATTAAGAAATTAACCAAATTGCTTTTGCAGATTCCTGAAGTGAATGGGTTACCAGCAAAACGTCCTGGTGGCATAAAGAGACAGGCTGACCCATATGACTTCGATGATGACATAGGCACAGGCACCACCCCAGAAACATTCAAACGGAAAGATGGCTTTGACAAGGAGGAGACCAAGACCCCTGGGAGTGTCCGTTCCTCCCATGATCCTCAGTCCCCGCTGCAACCAAAGAGAACTGGAAATCTTTATACAAGTGAAGGGCTTCAAGCCTCGCTTTCAGATTTGGACGTCATGTTTGATTCTGATTCTCCAGTGGATGATGTGAGTTTAGGCTTTGTTTTATGTTAATTTTTTAGGTATTTTTCTCATATATGGCATTGAAATTGAAATTTGTATTAATAAGGCTCTTGCTATAAATTGGTAAGTGTGTCATTAATTTGCAAATAACTTTCATTTTTCCAGGTCGCATTCCCTGACCATACTCCACCTGGTTCTAACAAACCCCTGGGAGGGCCCGAGGATACAGCTGCAGTTTTGAACAACAAGAACAATGCTAGTGGTAACAAAACCAGTGTTAACACTAGCTTAGTGGAGTTGACAAAAATGTTTCCAACACCTCCCTCCCATGAGCATAACCCAGACCATGACACCACCATGGAGGATGCTGTGCCACAGGTCATCAGCATCAAACAGGAGCGAGTGGATGATCTTAGACCACTTCATTCACAGGAGCAGGCAAACCTGCCTGCTAGAGACGAACCGAAAGAAATGTTGGCTGTTTATCGGCCTCCTACTCTTTCAATGTTTGTTGGCTCCCGCAAGTATGCTCCACTAACCAACTTACCAAGTCAGGAGTATAAAACAGTTGTGACACTTCCTCCTGATTGGGCTTACAAACCTTCATGGCAGTTCCCAGTTGCTGAGAAGCCCCACGGACCAGCTCCTACATTGGGCCACATGGGTCCACTCCATGGAGGTCCTCCATCAACTGGACAAACACAGAAGGTGGGCTTGTCTCCCATCTCACCCATGACTTCAAGTTTGGGTGGGCCAGTATCGGACAGTGGCCCAGGGTCTCAGCGTGGGCCAGGCAGTGTGGGAGGCCCAGCTTCTGCAGGACCACCCATGAATTATGAGCTACCATCCCCTGCATCCAACCAGTCATCTTACCTCAACAAGACACTGCCATCAGTAGAGCCACCAAGCATGGGGCTTAGCCAAGTACCTGAAGCAAATTCCCTTATTGTTAACATCGCTCTGCAGGACTCGAGCGTCAACTTGTTCAGAGATCACAACTTTGATTCGTGCACAATGTGTGTCTGCAATAACAACCAGAAAATTGTTGGAAATATCCGTGGAAAGGATGGAGCTCTATATTTACCACCTACCCATCTTAGTTTAGAAGAAGAAAGTGCAAGTTGCAGTTGTGGTTTCTCTGCAGTAGTTAATAGAAGGTTGGCCTTTCAGGCTGGATTATTTTATGAAGATGAAGTGGATCTTACTGGCCTCCATGAGGCTTTGGTCAATGAGCGTAAAAAGCAGTCTTTACTCATGCTGATGGACAATAAGAATGCAGACAATCCTGAACGTGATACCAGTATTCTAGATCAGATACCTCAGTCTATGTACCAGCTGTTACAAAGCCAGTGCTTAGTAACTTTAAGTACTCCCTCTAGTGTCATTTATAGATCAACAACAGTGTACCAAAATAATAGACGAGACATTATGCTGAACTTAGTGGATTATAAAGATGGTAATGAGATTGCAAGCTTGGCTGTAGAACAGTCACGAGGTGTTAATGTGGGTGAAGGTGAAGTGAACTCCCCTTCAGCAAGACATCAGTGCATGCATAAGTGGTGCTACTACCAGTTCGATGGTCCCACATGTTCTAGGGACATAGTGCGTTGTATGAAGGCCCTCCAGCCTCACCTACAAGAGGCCATACAAAAGAAGGGAAGATGGGTGAACTTATTCAGTGTTGAAGGGCCCCTCACGTGGAGGCAGTTCCACCGCAAGGCTGTTAGAGGCAATGAGGATATTGCTGAACCATTGCCTATTCCTATGTTATTGACAGGCCATGACCGAGACTGGTTGTCCATAGCACCACAATCCCTTAGACACTGGGAAAAATTACTTCTTGAACCTTACTCACAGCAGAGGAATGTGGCATATGTTGTGGTTGCTCCTGATAATGAATTTATACTCAATCATGTGCGCACATTCTTCAAGGAGTTGTCATCTATATATGAGGTAAGTTTTATATTTTGCTTTTATATGATGATAGTTGTATACAAATTCAGATTTACAGAGAATTTAGTAAAAGTTAAAAAACAGATAGGCATATGAACTTATAACAGGAACTGGAAAGAAATAGCATAATAAGCAGCAGTCAAGAGATGCTAAGGAACCATTTTTTGATATTACAACTAGATGGTGCTATAGGAGTAAAGATAGAGAATACAAGTGGGACAAAAGGGAATGTGTTAGATATAGCAAACACTTTGTGTATGAGTTTGCAAGATCACATTGAAAATACTACTGCAGGAAGTGGCTGTAGTGCAGCATGGAACTGCAGTCAGAGTATTAATAGAAAGTGTTAAAAAGATGGACAGATACAAAGAGAAGTTTGATGTTTTTTTTTTTTTGTTTTTGTGTGTGTGTGTGTGTGTGATTTTATATACTGATTTGTATAACCTAATCGTGTCAGTACAGGCACAAAAGGGGGAAACTAAGGTTCAGTAAAATTTAGTTGATCGTTGTTTTATTACAAGAAATATGAGATAGAATGGTTTAGAATTATGATAGATGAGGAGTTGTGTAGGTTAAAGAGAAATTGTAATGTCTGAATGACAAAATTATTTGGAAATTTGAGAGAGAGCAAAGTGTGCATGGATTAGTATATGTGAGAGTATACTGATCATGGTCACACTGTTCTTCATTTAACAACAGAAGTATCACAGTTTTTTGTATGTAGCTTTGATGTTGCTTATTAAGAATTATCTGATAATTGAATATCATCATATGTGCAAGAGTGTCGGCTTTGTATCTGTACTTGGCATAACCTGTTTTACTCTGTATGTTTGAAATGACATTGAAAGTTGAATAGAATAGCATTCAAAGTATAATTAGTTTATAAATCAAATATATGTATATTCTTTAATGAGAATTTGGCATTTTTTATTTTAGGCTTTTGATTGATTATATGAAAAGTGTTCATACTAGATATTATATTGTAAGAATTAAGCCTTACCCAGTCTTTAAGTGTTGACACAGTATATATGCAAATTTGTTTATGAATCCATTGTTTGTATCATTGTTTAGTACAGTGTTTTGATCATAATGTTAACTTTATTAAAGAATATCTCATATGCATATATACTTTGATTCTAGAGTAAGCTGTATTTTAAATAATTTCATTACTGGCTAGATGAATATCTGCTTTTTGTTACATATTATAAAACTGAATTAGTACTCTTGTAGACATTCTTGTGGGCATTTGTGAATATTTCTTTTGACGATTAAATCTGTTACGTGTTTAAGAAAAGTCATGAAAACATACAGGGTCATCAAAACTTAATAAATGTTCTATTTATATAGAACAATATTCCTTGTGATGAATTTGTTCTTAGTGTTGCCTCATTTTGTTTGTGGAATTTTGTATAACAAAACACTTTTGCTGTTATAGTTGTGCAAGCTTGGTCGTCATGCCCCCATACAACGAGTCCTGAGAAATGGCATAATGAGGATAAGCAAAACTGCAGCATCCAAAGTAGCCAATGAGCCATTAGAGGAGTGGTTCTCCCTCTTGGGTGACTCCCATGTGTCCACCAACCTCAAAGTTTACGCACAGGTGAGTTTAGTGTGTTTGGACAATTGTTTTGAGTAATCAGTCTTTCAGACTTCATTCCTCTCATAAACAGTGATTGTTTTAATTTATTTGCCCTTCCTCTGAATGTTGTATTTTTTCCTTCAGGTTTGTCGGTACTGGTTGGCCCCACACCTAGCAATGCTTAGTATGGACAAGACTCTGTTTGAAGCACCAGGACCCAACAGACCTGCAGAGAGGCAAGCTCCATCACCAATGCCTCCTCCCTCATCAGAGAACATGGGGAACACCAACCCCTCAACAACACCCACGTCAAACTCGGAGCCGGAGTCCTTCTCCTCCTCTTCCTCCTCATCATCTTCGTCTTCTTCATCATCATCTTCCTCCTCCACATCCACCTCATCATCTTCTGCAACTTCTACCTCTGGCACAGTAAGTTAGCTCTTGTGTTCAGAAAGTACCATAAGTATTGCCATTTCTAACAAATTGAGGAAGATTATTGACTAAATTGTTGACATTTATGTAAACTCTTTCCACCAGGAACATTTGATGACTACTGTAGTTTTTTGTGAATTGCTTTTATGCATAGATGGCTCAATTAGTCAATTATTTGGCCTATGTGACCTCACCTGATTTCCCCTTTCCCATAGTTTTCTTTAAAAGTCTATCTCTAATGCTTTTGATATTGAAAAATATTATTGTTGAGGAACCATCCATGTGGAAATTCAATTTGATAACTAAAATTTCAGTGGACAGGTCATATACGTACATGCCATCCCCAGCAGCATTGTTTTTATCGAGTTTTTGAAATTTACAAGAGCTATTTATCTTAGCAGCCAGGTAACATCCCGCTGGGTGCAAGTCTAAATGAAGTAGAGGAAGACGACTCCCCTCCTCCAGCCATTCTTGTCTACTTGGTGGACCCCTTCAATGTTGGGCAAGACCACCCTGACATGCACCGCTTGGTTACCTTAGGGTTGCTCCGCTGCTACGAACACATGCTGGAGGGATTGACTGAGAGCATGCAGAATAATGTGTATCTCCAGGTGAGTTGTTTGTGGTTAATTCTTATTGATTGATTTAACCCCCTGGATCCGGTTGCAATGGTTATGTAAGTGGCCAGCATCCCAGGCGTGTGGTGTGTAGACCGGGTGCCCACGAACCCCCATGAGCGGTGACAAGAATCCGTGCCTCCCCTTTGAGAAGTTATTTTGTGAAAACTTTTTTAGTTTTATTGCCATTTTCCAATGTCCATATTTGTCTTTTGATTTGCTTTATCAGAGATGGTAATTATATATTTTCCTTGCACGGACTCCATATCATATCTCTATGTAGTAAATAGCTCAGTGCAAGAAAAAAGAATATGGAACATTTGGTTATTTGTCATATATCATTTTTTTGCAATTTTCAATTTTACGCAATACAACCTGTGCCGCCGGTCACAGTGGCCAGGAATATGGTTCTCAGCATGGAAATGGCGTCCTCCCTGGAGCTGGCATTCTTTCAGGCACTGCTTACGCACATTACATTCCACATTCGTTTATCAATGGGAATAATACTAAAGCTCCCTTCTAAGCACCAAATGAGTCAAATCATACTCCAAGAGGTTTGTGCACTCGTGGTGAGTCTTTTCCGCCATCCTGGTCTTTGCTCTTGACGCTTTGTTCATGTCACCCATGTAGCTGCCCAAGTTTTTCCCTGACATGATCGCAACGTCATCCGGGTCCAGGGGGTTAATATATGCAACATGGTAACTATGTGAAGTCCACCCTGAATGATTTTGAGTACATTGGCCCCAGTGCTATATAGTGTTCGATAAAGTTGATTTCTATTATGTAACCTGTATGATGATCAAACTAGTACACTTATTGTAAGTACTTTATGGTGGTGTATATATATTGCCAAGGAAAAAGGAGGTTGATCAAGTAGTCCATTATTTAATATTTCATCTTTTCCCTTTGTCAGATTGTCTCATTGGAGAGTATACTGGAGTTGGCCAGTGACTCACATGACCGGTCCCACCACATAGACCAGCTCAAGAGTCTGGCCTTCTCTGTGTTCATGCAGTGCAGAAGAACTTTGACTCATAATGCAACAGTCAAGTCCCTAACAGGTTTTGGACCTGCTGCTGCATATGATGATTTCCTCAAGCCTAAGGAAGCTAGTGTAAGTTTTCAGCTATCAGCTCAAAATAAACAAAAGTTAATGAATCATTTTGCATTTTTTGCATCTTTATACCCAGGTGTATGTAAGCACAGCATACTTTTACATGGTACAAGTGTATTCATGCATACAATCTTTCTCTTATAGCTTGCAGCAGAGGAAAAGAGGCAAGCTCCTTACCACATATTCTCCCCTGCATACATTGTTGCCCCCATCAAAGAGAGTCGTGGTACATATAAGGAGGCACAGGAGGCTCTTGGAGCTCCACGTGAAAAGTCAACCATCTTGAACTGCACCTACTGCCTGTCTGAAGATCAGAGATGGCTCTTAGCAACAGCCACTGATGAATTAGGGGAAATTTTAGAGACTGTAACAATCAATATTGAAATTCCAAATAGGTAAGGATTTAAACTCCTCAGGTGTTATGTAAATTATTACTTTCATTTTAGTGTCAATTTGATAATTTTAATGTGACTTTAAGCAAAAGTTTTGAAAGTTTATGGTTTGAAAGAGAGGATCTTATTGATGAGTTGTAAAAACAATTCAATATAATT